CTCTGGCCGGTTCCCCCTGGCCGGGCCCCCTTAGCCGGGCCCCCTTGGCCGGGCCCCCCTTGGCCCTGCCTAATCGAGCCCCCCTGACCCGTCCTGACCAGCCCGCTCCACCGGGCCCTGCTGACCCGGCCTGCCCGAGCGCCGCTGCCCGGGCCTCCCCCGCCCCGCACTGGCAGCGCAGCCCATGTGCTGTCCGGTATCTACCCACACTCTGCTTCTTTTGGAAAAGGGATGCCTGAGATGGGACCTCATCCATGTCCGTCTGAATGGAGGGTGGCAGGAGGACAGAGCCAGGCTCTGGTGAGCGGTGCCAAGCAATGAGAGGCAACAAGCAGAAACAGGTGAATGAGAAGTTCCACCTGAACATGAGGCAGAATTTACTGTGCGGGTGGCTAAGTGCTGGAACAGATTACCCAGAGAGAGTGTGGAGTCTCTCTCACTGGAGATACTCAACAACCATCTGGATGCAAATCTGTGCCGTGTGCCCTGGGATGACCCCCCCTTAAACAGTCAGGTTGGACCAGATGACCCGCTGTGCTCCCTTCCAACACGATCCATTCTGTGATTCTGTGTGATTCCATATGCCCTTCAAGAGCTGCAGGAGCAGAGGAGTCCCCAAGTCAGGTGTTTCTAATTGCTGCAGAAAATAAGAGCAGGGGGCATCAAAACAAGGGAAAAAAACATTAGCTATCCCTATGCAACAAATAGTAATATATAGGAGTATGCACAATTCTTTCCATTCTCCAATCTGTGCTTGAATCTCAGTTAAAAATCTCCGTGTCTTTGGCTTCTGAGCCAGCCACTTTATCTACATGCCAGTGTTTGTGAAGTTGCAACATTTTTGTTTCCCATATGCAGGACTAACTTTCTTGATGTGCACTCACCTTGCAAAATGGAAGCGGTTTCTATCCCATATTTTTAGTGTAATTGCACTTCAGTGGCTTTGGTAATTTAGATGACTCACTGTGATCATGAAGTATTGTTTGTTTTCAGGCATGCAATATTTTCTGAATGACAAACCAATAAGGAATAAACTCTGATACTAAGATCTAAATGTCTCAGCACATACTTACAGGATAGAAGAGAAATGCCACTGCTCTCAAGAGTGCCATTTTTTGTTTTTTGGTTTTCCACAGCTGCACACTTTAACTTAAAGTGAATTGCATTAACTATAAAAAAGAATTTTCTCTTTAAGAAATGGTTTTCCAAGTAATTTTGTCAAACAAGAAATATTTTTGGATGATGTTAACAGATAAACAGATTAGCAGTAAAAAAATAGTCTTGGCAAGGTTCAAGGGCTGGCTTTGCCTTTGGCTTTGCTGCATGCATGATCAAATTGTCTCTTTTACTTGGAAAACATATTTGGATACCATAAAACTTGTATCAAAAAGGTAGCAATGTTTTCTTTCTGCAGAATGCAACCCATGCATTGTGTTCTAGCAAAAAAGTGGGTTGCCACTATGTGGTTGTTAAACACCTGTTTGGTCATGTAAAGATATATAAAGCCAAAAAAAGGTGAAGGTCTGCAGAAAGAAAACATGGCTACCTTTTTGAAACTGAGTTTCTGTTCCACAGTTCCTTCTCATCCTCATAAGCAGGCAGTTCCTCTACCAACAGCTGCATACAGCTATTGGTACAGTAGCTACTGGTTGAGCCACAGAGAAAATCTGAAACCCTGGCACTGAGCCTGACTTGGCTCTGCTCATAGTTTTTGCTCTAGAGCATCCATGCAGATGAAAATATCACTGTCATAGGTGGTGCAAAAGTCCTTTCTGGAGAGACCTGGGGCCAGCTTGTCTGCATGTAGCCAGTGATCATGATTCGGGGCTAACCATGCGAGTCACATCGCTATTAACCATCCACTGCAGTGAACAGGTGCTTAGACCTACATTCAACCTTAGTGTGGGCCCAAGCTTTTTTTCTTCCTGCTGTGTCCAGTCCAGGTCCACATCTAAATCTAGGTATGTCTTCAGAACTTGCAAGCACAAACTTGGGGTGTGAATTCAGGCCAGTGTTCGAAAGAAAGAACAGACACAATCTGTGCTCTTTCCCACAAAGACAGAGCAAGGCTAATCACAGGGGAGTTTGCAGGACAGCAAAACATTGTGCAACAGCCAGATACATGGAGGTGGGAGTGGGAGGAGAAGCCCTGTATCACACTACAGTACAAAGGGTTTTTTTTATTTGTTCATCATGGGCATCCTGAGCTTGATATTTTTAATCTTTATTAGTCAGAGTTTTAGAGAGAAATTATCTGCCTATGGTAAACTTACTTTGCTTTGTGATCATGTTAATATGACAAATTGCATTCTCCTTGATTTAGATGTATTGTATCCATCACTGAGAGCACATCTTGAAATTTGTGATACTTGGCCATGAAACATTATTCTGCCATAAGGTTATAATTAAGGTTGCTAAAATGTTCACTTCAAACAAAGCATTCAAACAGATATGAAAAGATTAATCTCAGTGATGCTTGTGAAAGTTGGTAAAAATATGTCCTCATCTTGTCCATCAAAGTTTCCTTCTTTCCAGATCTGACCAGCTGAGCATTGTCACAGGAGCTCTTGGCTCCAGCTTAGGAAAAGAAGCATTGTTGTCAAAGGGGCTTGGAAAGGGAAACAGTCCAACAACATCTCAGTCATGAGGCAGGCTTTGAATTTTATGGAATTGTGTTCTTAGATTCTGGATTCACTACAGGGCTCTTCAGATGTAGTTCTTCCTTGCTCTGTGCTTCATTTTCTCATCTGTAGAAAAAGATACAAGTTCCTTGCATCTTTAAAGCAATATCCAAGGAGTATTACCTGGACTCAATGAGGGTGGAGGCCAAATGTCCACACTCAGGAAGTCCCAGAGCTTTTTACACTTTTGTGAAGATGAACAGCTTCAACACAGTAAAAGCAATTCAAAGGGGATTGGGGGAGTGGGGAAGAAAAGGAGGAAAGATTCCAAAAACATGCCGTGCTTAAAACTTTGCTTCCTTTCACATATTTTTGCAGCATGACAGAGCAGCAGGCTCCTCTGTCCTATTCACATGACTGTTATTTCAGTTAATTTTCAGAAGGAACTGTGTATTTTTCTCAGTGGCAGTATATAAGGAATTCAAAGAACTGTAGTGATTCATGCTCTCAAAACAGTCAAATCTACAGGGGAGAAAGCAAACAACAAAATTTCTCTCCTGACCTAAGGTATTTCAAATCAGTATTTTTCACTTCTGTAGTCTGTCAGTTACTCATATTTTAAAGTTTCCTATTTATGCTGCATTGAAAGTGATAACTGCCAGGAATCACTTCAATCCTAAGAAATAGACATACGTGTTGTACACCCAATAAAAATGGTTTGAGGTATTAGGAAACAACAACAACAAACCCAACAAAGTATCTTGTCATGTGCACAATGCAACAAGGAATTTAGCATACTCAAAAATAGACTTTGCATATTTAGCTCCAAGTGACAGTGCAAGGGGCAACATTATACTATCTGGCAACAATCAGCAATGACTTAACATAAGAACCGATCAGAAGATCACTTCAGTGGGATATGAAGCTGAAAAGGAAGTTGGTTCAGCATTGACCACCATTAGAACCATTAAATCACTAAGGAGATGGGAATCCAGAGAAGTTGCTTCACACAATAATAAGGGAAATCCCTTTGGACTCAAGATTCAGTCCCGTATTTAGCCCTCAGGCCTTGCTACTGCGTCGGTATCAGTGTCCCATTGTGTTACAGCTCTAGAGTTCTCATATAGACTGCAACTGTACTAAGTGATGCCTTGAGAAGGCTGACCTAGAACAGAGGCTAGACAAAGTTAAGAATAAAGTAGGTATTTATTGAAAGGCCTTAAAGGATACACCTTGGGCAGTACAAGAGCATGGGCAGGGCTACACTCAAGGTGGACCTAAAAATGGTAACAAAATGGACAACCAGCCACAAGCTCTCACATTTTTATAAGTTTTGGTCCCTCTGCATATTTGGGTTATTTGTCCAATTATAGCTTCAGATTATGAAATTCCATCCTTCTTCAGTCCACTGTTGTTTATGCTTTTGGGCCCGAAACTTGCCTAGAAAAGGAGTTGCTTTGGCTACCTACTCTGTGTCTACCTGCTGACTAACACTAATATGAAGCTTCGAACTACACACCTAGGCAGCACAGAATCTGAAAAATATGAAAGCTAAAACTTAAGGCACAAAAAGCACTTTCTTCTTTGCAAATAGCAGGCTCTTAGTAATATAAAAATGACTAGCAAACTCACCTTGCATGCACTTGGCTTGTCATGGGGGTTGTGTATATCTTTACACTGATGGGTAGAATAAATGGTGATCAATTATGTATTTTACTCAGGCTGGCAGCCTGTCCCCAGTTTGGCTCTCCTGGGGATTGCTCCACACTGTTCAACATCTTCATAAACTATTTCAATGATAGGATTGAAAGTATCTTCTCTAACTTCACTGCTGATGCCAAACTGAGTGATGAGGTGAATCCATCAGAAGGGAGAGCCATCTTAGACAGAGCCCCTGACAGGCTGAAGGGATGGGCAGGAAAGAACAGAGTGAAGACAAGTGTAAAGTCCTGCATCTGGGAGATAACCAAAGAACCCAGGACAGGCTAGGATCTGTGTGCTTCTCCAGGGAGAAGAGAAAGCTCAGAGGGGACCTAATCACATTATTTGAGTACTTCTGGGGCTACATCTACAAACGTGATGGAGTCTCTCTTCACAAAGTGCTCCATGTAGAAGACAAAGGACATGGATACAAGTTGCACTGGGTGAGGTTTCATCTTGATATAAGAAAGACATTTCTTACAACAAGGACAACTTCTCTAGGCACTTGATAGAGTTCCCATTGCTGGTGGTTTTCAAGGTGAAATCAGATCAGGTCCTAAATAATCTCTTGTAAGTTCCTTTCCTACAAAAGGACTTAATGATTTTCCAAGGTCCTTTCCATGATTCTCTGGTGTATGTGGTGTGTGTTGTTCTAGAGTCCAATATATGAGCAATGGAGAGGAGGACAAGGAGAAGTGCAAAAGAATTTAGAACATACTTGAAAAATTCTGATGAATTTGAGGTATATTTTGAATGATGCTGAGAACTAGACCACGTGGGAAGGGAAAAAAAAAAAGACCGGTGTTTTATATATACATGTAGATCTTAGAACAACTTTGTTATCAGCACAAAGCAAGACTGTCCATATTAAGCAGGCATCCCAGAAAGAGTTTACTTGCCAATTTTTTGTCTTGCCACATAAAAAAATAAAACAAAACAATGCAAAACAACAAAAAAACCCACCAAAAAATTCAAAAAAGCCCCCCAAAACCCCTCAAAAAACAAAACCAATAAACCTCCAAACAACAAAAAAACCACAAAAACAAAACCAAACAAAAACAGAAAAGCAAAAGATCCCAACAAAAACACAAAACAAAAACCCCCCAATGAAACAAAACAAAACAAAAAATTCCCCCAAATCATAAATTACTTGGAAATGTGGGACATAAAAAAACCCAGAAAAAATCCCCCTCTATATTTAAAGGGGAAGGTGAAACTGCCAGAAAGAATACAGCTTTTGTTCTGCTAATAGTGCTGAGGCCTTGAGCTGTACATTACATCTACCTGTTGCTTAGCAATTTGGGATAGGAAGCAACAGAACAGTCACATTCCACATTTTTCCCATGTTGATAGCTTGTGTCTCTTTCCCTGTAGTGTTTATGATAGAACCCTGACTATGAAGGAAGTAAAAGAAATGGCTGTTTGTGTAGCCATCATAACAATTTTTGCAAAGGTTTCTCTGAACTGTAACTTAGCAGCTAAATGTCTGTGTGGGTGGTAAAGTTGCTGTTAAAATAGCCTCCCCACTGGGAATGTAATTATTCAGTGCTTTGCAGATTTGCATTTCTTGGCCTTTCAGTAGCATTGCTTGATGAGAAAGGTTGGTTGTCCCAGCTGATACAAGCAGAGTTCTCTGTGATAGATGCAAAAAATGGCTATGAGGGCAATAAGAAATGCAAAACCAAAAAAAAGATCATCCAAATGTTAGCTAACATGAATCTGGATTTCATTATGACAACTAGCATATTAGAGTAGCAGAGGTGAGAGGGGGAAGAGAATTTACAAGAATGGAATTAGCAGATATTTGACAACACCTGTCTGTTATGGAGGAATCATATCTCTGAGGCACATGTTTAAGTTCAAACCCAGGAATATGCCTAGATAGCAAAAATAAAAAAAAAAAAAATTAAAAAAATATTGCATTTATTTATGCTTCAATATCCAGTTCAATTAAAGCCTACAACCTCTGGAGACCTGGCATGAAATCAAAAGAGAAAGGAATTCAAGAGCTCAAATTCCATGTGAAGCTCCACAGGTTATGAAGGGCAAAGATCACCTTCCCAGGAAACATGGCTCAGCAGCTATCAACACTCCCTCCTTCTGGATAGCATTCCAATAAATATTGCAGATTTGGGGCAGAATTGGGCATGTCTGGAAGGGCTTTAGGCTTGTTGGTATGGAATACTTCAGTCTTAATTCTTAATTCCAATCTAGAAAAAACCCTGCTTGTTTTGTTAGAGAGGGGAAGAGTTACATTCAATCCAGTCAGCATCCTTAGACAAAATGAACCTGGAAAGCCTAGTCCCATGTATAAGTACAGTGGTTACTGATCTCTCTAGGCTGAGAAAAGTATTGCCAGGACTCAACTCTTTTTCCAAAATGGTGGGAAATAATTTAACCCTCATTTTTGGAGATGTTCAGTTGTGCAGTACTTTCTTCTTCTAATATGTATTCCCTCAAAAAGAAAATACCAATTTCTATACAGTTTTATCTGTCAAAGCAATTTTTCATTCTGATGCTCAACAAGACATCCAGGATTAACTAACATTTCATGGCAACTCTGAAATCCTTTAAGATTGCTGGCAGCATAGAACTGAAAACACCCAGGGACCACTTAAACGCATTGTAAATACAAGATTACCTTGATCAATGTATTCCACATTATTGGTTACTGTATAATGAAGTTGACTTAGTGGGAACTGTCTGCAACTCAGTTTTATAGTGCCATAGTGTTCACAGTTTTTTACAGCTCCGGTTTGTTCGATTTGAACTACTGCAGCTGTAACATACCTCCTATTTGGAATTCTAAGGAAGTCAGGAAGCACTCCTGATGGATCAGTGCTTAAATTATACGAGAGCTGAGAAACCTGAACTTCCTAGGGAGACCTGTGAAGGAGACTGCCAAAATCAATCAGATCTCTGAGGTCATGCTTGAAGGTGAGGCCCAGTGTGTGGCAGGGACATTTTGGTGTGTTTCATACCTGATGGGAACAGTTGTATGGTCTGTCTTGGTCTGCCACTTTCTCCTCTTGATATAACTTAGGTCAAAGTCACAAGGTGCTTATGTAGCTTGAGTTATAGGATACCAATATAACCTGATATATCTATATAACTTGATATATCTATATAACCTGATATCAGTGTAACCTAAATCATAGCTTTTTATACCTATATAACCTGAATCATAACTTTTTGTACCTATATAAGCTGATAGAAACACTTTCTATACAAAGTAATGGCTACTATATGGTTAACTAGCTGGTTAATGCTGAATAGACAAAAAAGAGGAAAAAACTCAGCAGGTGGATAGCTTCAGAGATCAGTAACTATAGTACTAATGAGAAATTGGCAAATGTAAAGCAAATTAGCCACAAAATAAAGAATTTAGGCCACTTAGGACCAAACAGAGTAAGGAACAGCATAACTGTGCATGCTCCAGAGTGAAAAGTTCAGGTTTTTTTTGAATGATGACTTCATCAAAGACCCCTGATCCCCTGATGACCCACCCCTGATGAAGACGGGAGACACAAGTGCAGTGCAAAAGAACTATCTAATAACCATGAGATCTATAGAAATATATGTAAATATACTAGTTCCACTAGAAATTAGTTCCACTGTGTATATGATGATGTTATAGTGATATAATAACACTAAGCAATACTTACTGTATGCATATATATATATACATACATACATACATATATATATATATATATATATATACACACATATCTATATACATATACATATACATTTATATATACACCACAGCACTTGACAAAGGTGGGTGAGTTAGGTAGAGACATCCCCCTCACCACCAGCGCTGCAATAAACAAATACTTGCTCTATAGGCACAGGTCTGTGGGGATTTATTTCCAGCCTATCTTTTGAGCATCACTCTCTTGCAGCCTCATCTCAATCCTGTGATGCTGACAAGCAGGCTTGGGAGTGTGGCTGATGGGTATTTTGCCATCTGGTGGCACTTCACAGGTGATCTCTGTCACCAATATTTGCTGTCCTGGAGGAACATAACCAGAACAGATGAGTGGCATTGTAGCAACTGCAAAATGATTTTCAGAAAAAGGTTCAGGGTAGTACAGAACCATCCAACCCCTGCAGAGACCATTATCTGCCCACCTGCATCTCTTGCATGCTTTCTGCATGCCTGTGGTGGCACCTGAAATGCAAACAGAGAAGCTCACCAGATGTATTTCTAGAATGCTGTAGCTAGTGTAGGATATGTGAAAAAAAATATAAAGAAAGAAGGAAGAAAAAGGAAGAAAGAAGGAGGAAGAATGAGGGAAGAAAGAAGGAGGAAGGATGAGGGAGAGGAGAGAGGAAAGGGAAAGGGAAAGGGAAAGGGAAAGGGAAAGGGAAAGGGAAAGGGAAAGAAGACCCTCCTCAAGCCCCAAGCTGAAAGGCTTGACCCTTCTGCTGAATTCCTTCTTCAGAGGTGTTGTCACTGCCATGCCTGGGAGGGCCTCTTCCCCAGTCATGGCCTCCTGCTCCCAGCATTTGCCCAGGCTCCCCTCTGCAAGGCAATCCATGGTGCTGCTGCTGGCCTTGTCACAGGGAGGGTTAGGGTAAGACTCAGGACTCACATCTCCACAGGGATCTGAGATTTGCTTGCTGGGATGTCCCTCTCAGAGAAGGGACATCAGATATGAGGTCTCACCGGCAATGGCCCTGGTGTCTCCATGCTGTGGAATACATGTGTGTGTCATGAAGCAGCAGGGAGCAGTGATGTCACATCTGCTGCCAGAGTAAGCCAGGGAGAGGGATGGGGTGGCTTCCACCTAAGAACTGCTGGTCCCACTGGTCCCAGTGTCAACAGCTTTGATAGTGCCAGTGCTGTGGCTGCTGCTCAGCAGGGTACAAGAGCAAAGATCCTCTGTGCTCTCCCAACAGGAAGCTGCCATTGGGTGAAAATGCTTTGCAGTGAGGAATTCCAAAGGACATGTTGGCTCAGGGGAAGCATATACAAGCTTCCAAAGGAGAAGGTTCTTCCCCAGGTCAAAGAGTTTTTTGGGTGGGATGAGGTGGAACTGGTCTGTGTAGATTGTGGGAGAGGAGTCCTAAGGCTTCTTCCTTTCACAGCTCTATGGAGAAACAACTCCTGGAAAGATCTCTTTAGCTGCCAGATGTGCTTCTTTTCAACTCAGAAGTGAAAATCCTCATGTGTAGGAGCTTTGTAGCCTGCTTTTGATGTCCCAGGTCACTTGTGATAAGCACTGGTGAACATACACTTGCCATATACGAGCACAGATTCAGTTGGTTTGTATGGAATACCTCTCAAGTGATATCAGCAGGAGGATATCACAGATCCAAGTCTACTGCCAGGAGCCTTTGAAAACCCCAGGCTCTCTTTAGTTGACCCTTTGGCCTAGCTCTGCCTCCAGGTCTGCTTGTGTGCCTAGTAAATATCTGTTATAAACCAAACTTTCAGCACTGTTGCCTACTTGTGAGAGCACATACAATATTGTGTATGATTATGTGTATGGCCTTCACATACACCAACTGGAGGTGAAGAGCTCTTTGCACAATTGTCCCAACCCTGGGATACAACCAGGGATTCTGTGGAGGTCTGGCCCATGGAATCTTCATGAACAATTGGCTAGTTTGCTCTTCCCTCTCCTGAAAGCACTGGTTGTACATGAGCTTCCTCCTGGCTCATGCTCAAGTGTCCGTGCTCTCAACCTGACCCACAAGAACATGGACATGGGCTGTGAGACCCAAATCATGAATGCTCTGGTGAGTGTAAACCTCCAGAAAATTAACATAAAAACACATCTCTAAGTAAACCAGAAGGAACTGAGGCTGGGGCCCACACAAGTGCAGCTGAAAGCAGGTGCAAGGAGAGACAGGGCTACACCCTCCTTTGTATCTCACAGAATCACAGAATGGGTAAGGTTGGAAGAGACCACTGTGGGTGACCCGCTCCAACCTCCCTCCTCAAGAAGGGTCATCCTCAAGCAAACTGTAAAGGTTAAAGTCCAGATGGATCTTGATTCTCTCTTGGGGGAAGAGTCAGTTTTGGCTTCCTGAGCAATATTATCCCAACTACAAGCTGAAAATAGAAATAATACATCCTTCAAGCATAAAAAACCCCAAAAATTTCCTTAGGTTTTATTCTCATTTTTATCTTAACACAGCTTTGAAATATTTTATGGATATATTTATCATACTATGAGACTACTAGATGACTTTCATGATGGGAATTTAAAAACATTCTTCTAAGAAACCTTAAAAGTTGCGTATCATTAATTCTCCATCTTCTTAATATTTCAGAAATATTCAGTGTAAAATATTATACATATTCTTTTCCTGGGGAATTGAACCAGGAGGATGTGTTGGCAAGCCTATTTGGCAGTGTTATTTTAAATGATGGTGTCTCTGGATGCTTGAGGAAGGATGACCTGAAGGAAGGCAGCTGGCTGGAAGATACTGTTCGTGCTCTTTGGTCAAGGATTGGTGTCAACATGATCTTGTTGGCAGAAGGTTGAAGCCACTGCTGTCCAGAAAGAATATGAAGAATGTTTCCTCCATGGGAGAATCTTCATTATCTGAAAAGGTAACATGTGTTTTCTTACGCATAAGTGAGATATTGAACATGGCAGATACAGAAGATTTGTATGTAGAAAAGTATTCCTCACTGGGTAGTCAAGGCTGCTTGTTTACAGCCTTCTAGAGTATGAATGACCGGTGTGTATGGTCTGTGAACACATCAGGTCATAGCAAGATATGTGAGCATACAGAGATTTGATAATCAACTGTTACGTGGCTTGCATTTCTTTATCTGCAAAGAGGATCCCAAATGGATTCCTCTTCTTGAAACTAGAGCTGGAAGAAGACATACTTGCTGTAAAGAATTACTGCTGTTCACAGTATCTGGTTTCTTTTAGCCTTTCTGACATTGATGATGAAAGATACATATATGTGTACTGCAGATGGAAATCTGTGTAGAAGTAATTGAAGACCTTTGAAGTCTGCTCAAATATTGTGCTAGGGACTGAAAAGGAAAAATTATTCTTCTTTAGAAACTTGCTTTTGTGGAGGAAGAAGGGAAAGGTAGCTGGTAGATGCTCACAATAATGTCTAGGAAAGGATAATGTTTCTCAGTAACAGACTCATCACCCGAATCAGTTCTCCAATTCCCCTACATTGAGTCAATGAAACATAGAGAAGAAAGGAAATCTAATTTCTTAGATGCAGGTAATCCTTTTTCCAATGTGTAAAAAGATGCAAATGTTTTATTTCTCCTTGGCACAAGACCCTTTCATTTCTCTGAATGAGTTTGCTTTGATAGTCTGCTCTTGACAGAAGCTTCAGTTTTCTCTCCCGGAGGCTGGTTATGCTGCCAAGAGAGGGCAGCAAACAAGCACGGAAACTGCATGCTCGGCCCTGTATTCGGTCACATGGGAATATAAGGAATCATTAGGACAGCACATCCATGCCTTACTATAATTACTGCACTAAACCTGCTGTTAGTTTGTTTTTACTGCAAAAGCAAACCTCTGAATTGCACTTCTTTCTGTTTTCTTTCCAATAAAATAAATAAGCCCAAACTTCAGTGAAACATTTGAAAATAAATCTTGTGCCATGGAGAGCATGGCTGGACAAACAGTACACACTGTTTTGGGGATGCTGTGTAGAAGGCACGAATCCCACACCTGACTTTTCATGGTTTTGCAGAGGACTAAATGTATGTAACAAAGTGTACAGCTACACTATATCTTTGTTTCCATGTGTAATACATATCATTATTCATGCTGTCAGCTTCCTACTGCAGGCTTCATTACACATAGCACAGGCTCTGATCTCCAACGGGCAGCAGTTTCTTTCAAATCCATCATTCCTTTAATATCCAGAGCCAACTCCTTCATGCATACTGCTACACAATCAGATCACCACATACCCTTAAAGACATGCTTATTACAGGATTTATTGAATTGATCTGGGCTGAACATATTTTAGTAAAAAAAAAGTAACCTGCTTGGCTTAAATACAGGTAATTATTTTTACCCCAAAAGGACCTGCAGTGTTTTGACCCCCATCTCTGGAGGCCCACATTTTTGAGATTACATTAAAACACATCATTCACAGTGGCTTTTCACTTAATGAGAACAATGGCTTGACACAAAAAATTGAAGTAGAAATGGAAGGTCTGTGTGGGCTTTGCGTTACTGCAGGACAAGCTGCTGTTGCTCTCTGAGGTTCTGCTCTTCTAAGGTCAAACATCATTGCTGGCTCTTTACCCATTAACTGGAAAACACCTGAAGCTCTACTGGTAAAATAAACTAATATTTAAGGACTGGAGCATACTGTTCTAGCACAAGGCTAGAATTGTGGGAAAATACAAAGCAGTGGATGAATCCTGCCACCTGTTCTATACTTAGGTTTGAACACATTAATGCCAGCTTAACCTCGTGTACAAAAAAAGAAAAGCCTTGGGTCAGACTAAGACCTAGTTATGGAAGACCTTGGCAGGCTTCTCAGAGCAGGAGGTGCTGAGAGAGCATCAAGCCCAAAGGAAGGTATTCAGACAATTCCAGACACAGAAGGCCTCCTATCAGAAACTTCTCTGGCTGGTGAAGGGAAAAAAACAATGATCCCACCAGTGACCCTGCTGATTTCTCCTCAGCCAGGGTATTTGTGCACAAACCTGCACTTTAAGGGGAAAGAGATTGAAAGAGAGCGAGGAGAGGGAATGGGAGTGGTGGTGTTATAGTAAGCAAACACTCTTCCCTTTGTAGGTACCACTCACATATAGAAGACCTGGTTCTGTCTCACTAGTCCTCTCTAACCTTGCAAGAGCACTGGAGTCCAGATTAATTTAAAGGCCAATTCAGTTTTACGAATTCCCTGGAGGGTGCAAGCTTTGGTTGCACTTTCATGCTACAACTAAATTTCTTTCTCAGCTACTGAAAGTGGCAGGACCCCTTCTGCTCCACTCTCCCCTGTGGGGTTTGCTCAGGTCCATGAGCAGCCTCAGCAGAATCAAAACCCCCAGCTCCTCCAACACCTTTTCAGAAAGTGGGGAGACTGCAGTAAGTTCAGCTTGAGCTGTTCAAACAATGGTTAAAGAAAAAAACAGGAATGAGATAGTGAAAGGTTGACCATTTGATTTCTACAGGTGGTGCACCTCGTATCAACTCGCTCTGAGCTGAGCATTGGCTTCATAGTGCTGTCAGCAGCTGAACTGGCCCTCTGAGAGTCGCTGATTTTGTTTGAGTGAGAGCACAGATCACAAGGGGGATGCATAAGCTTATACCCTCCCATCTCTATGCCAATATCTTCAGCACAGTACTTCCCTTTTCATCACACAAACTACAAGAAGAGGTCTGCTCCCCTGGATGGACTTTCCTACTGGTGGTGGCTGATGGGTCTTTATGTTAAGTACTTGTACTTGCAGGCCAGAGTGCTCAGCATTGAGCTCACCAGTGAAACAGTCTGGGAAATATAAATATCAGGTTTTCTTTCAGAATTTCTACTTTCTTTCATTAGCACAAGCAATAGCTTCATCCAATCAAACAAGCCAGTTGTTTAAAGGAAAGCAAAGAACTCCTGTTTCCATGCTGTCCCAGTAGCAGTTCTTCTGTTGGTTTTTTTGGTTTTTTTTTTCTCTGTTTTCTTTTTTTCCTTTGTTTATTTGGTTATTTTTTTCTGGTTTTTTTTCCTTTTTTTTTTTTTTTCTTAATGAATGCAGAAAGCAGACATTAGTCACCATGAAAACAGTTTGATCACAGAATCACAAATTAAGCTGATTTGGAAGGAACCCACAAGAATCATCAAATTCAACTCCTGGCCCTGCACAGAACCATCCCCAAGAAGTACACCATGTTCCCAAGAGTGTGGTCCAACATCTCTTGAGCTCTGTCAGGCTGCTGCTGTGACCACATCCCTGGGGAGCCTGTTCCAGTGCCCAAACACCCTTTTCCTAATACCAAACCTAAACCTCCCTTGTCACAACTTCAGGCCATTCCCTCATGCCCTGTCACTGTCACCAGAGAGCAGAGATCAGTGCCTGCCTCTCCTCTTCCCCTCCCAAGGAAGCTGTCACTGCAGTGAGGTCTCCCCTCAGCCTCCTCCAGGCTGAACAGACCAAGTGACCTCAGCCACTCCTCACACGGCTTCCCCCCAAGGCCCTTCACCATCCTCATGGCCCTCCTTTGGATACTCCCTAACACCTCATGTCTTTTATGGCAGTGACTGAAACTGAACACCATATGCAAGGTGAGGCTGCCCCAGTGCAGAGCAGGTTGGGATTATGTGTGTGTCCTTTTTGTAATGGGCAGTAGTAACTCCAGATTCACCACTCTCATCAGAGAGCAGCAGAAGGCTAATGACTTGAGTACAGGTCTGGGAGTCTTTGTCAATTAACAAACTATGGGACTTCTCTGCTGAAATTACATAACCTATAAGCAGCATTTCATAGGTTTGCAGCAGTAATGAGATTATGGCTGTTTGCTCTAAGTTTGTGGTTCTGTATGCTGGTAATAATGCAGATGGAGCCATTGACATTCAGAATTTGGTGCAGAATGATTTTTTTTCTAAATATGGAATAATCTTTGCAGTGCCACATTGTAATGAACCTGTCTTGGAAAACATAAGTAATATTGTGTAATAGCTGTAATTTTTAAGTAATAGTGTGTAATATTTGCTCAGCATGGACTATTATGCTATCAACAAAATTTTCTGAATTAATCCTGTTACGTGTGTTATGTCCTTCATCTCCCCTGTCAATGCTTTTAACTGTATAAATTACAACTCTTCCGAGGCCATTAAGCAACCTGCTTACCCAGAAACATTTTTGTTTTGCAGGCTATTAATGCACTGTAAGAGGATAGCGCTGACCTTGCAAAACAAGGGGAGAAAATTTTCCATGACTCTACATACAGGCAACAGTGAGAGATACAGAGGGAGGAGAGGATGAAACAGAAAATATAGCACTTGTCATGGTGGAAAACTGTTAAAGCAGACCATGTTTAGAATAAAGCAGAAGTGATAATCATTGTTATTCTTTTATGAAGGAAGGGAAACTCTTCATTTGATAAAACTAATGGTGAAGTTCTCTGTTAAGGCTTGTTAATTGAGTACTGCTGAATGCTTGCATATAGGAAGGCATTCCTGTCACTGTGTCTGCTTAGAGGCACAAGTTGCTGCCAAACTGAAACCTTAGCCATGTTTGGCTATATCTTGTGAGCTCTGGCAGACATGTATTTTTTTCTATTAACAATCTTCAGCTTTTCACATCTTGTAGCTGATACTGAAAAATATTAATAGAAGAGAAACTCTTGTCACTAAAATGAAATCAATGCATTACAAAAACATTCTATGAAATTCCTTCTGCTTTGAGAAACAGGCCTTTCAAGGCTATTTTGGTTTTGTTACATTTGAAGGTTTTTTGTTCTTTTCTATTAAAAAAAAATTGTTGATGTGTTTTGTTATATCAAGAAATATTTTCCAGGATTATTCTGACTAAATTTTGTTTGGCACATTGTTTACATTGAAAATATTAGACAGCAATTATGTAGTAGAGAATAGTGAGAGAGACTGTGTTTGTCTGCATTGTAAGTGTTTTCATCTGTGGCTGGAAAAGGAGAACAACAGAAACATCAGTTTGGAATGCTTTTTTTTCCTTTACATTTCATGTATGCTAATTCTCAAGCATATTTGAACAGATTTAAGGCAGTTCTTCAGTGTTCTTTTCTCCTCCTGTACTTGATAGGACTGCTAGCAGTGAGTCAGTAAGGTAGCTTGCATTAGGTATTACTATAGTTTTGTATTAGTGATATCAAATGTAATTACTCAAATAGCACTGGAAACCTTTGCTTTTTCTGGTAGCAATTAAATTAAACACCATTATGTATTATTTTCTGAATACTGAAAACTGGCTGTTCCAAATTCAAGGACAGTTAGCTTTAAGCAACAATTAGCTCCTTGCTGAAAAGGCAGTAAAAGGGGCTTTAGTGTCTGTATCAGCGTCTATAATGTTGCTCATGTTGTTCAGCACCATGATTATAGGAGGTAGCTGGTGTGCTCTTCTCTGCTGCCTTTGCCACAGTGGGGTGGCCGGAGCCACCCAAGCTCCTTGAGGAGAGCCACAAACACTGTGAGCAAGGGTGGAGAGTTTCAGCTGTAGGAGGCTTTTGGCATTCCTCTGCCAGTGCTGATTCATTTAAGTGCTGTCTACAGTATTTATAACCTTTTTTAGTTTTTCCCCACTGTGTAAATGTACTTTTTTCTGTGATATTTAAAATGGTAGATGTAAGACAACATGTCTATAGCATACAGTCTATAAATTACACCAATAAGGGGATTATGTGAAGAAAACAGAAGGAGAATGGGAAGATATCTATGAAAAATAGGGGTAGATACAGCCCGTCCTGAAACCTTATGCAGATGAATGTTTACAAAAGGAAAAACGGGCTTGGACCAAACCTCAGCAGCCCAGAGACTCCTGTTCTTGGGCTCCTGAGCTATTGGCTCTACTCTTGCTAGTTATTTCTTCCACCTCTATAAAATCATTCCTTCTGTGTGATCCCAGAATGTACCAGCTGTTTTTCTGGTGAGAAGCCCATACTTGCAGGTAGTATCCTAGGGTGCAGCTCTCAGCCAATGTTTGGCAGCTAAAGTCCTCAGGTCATATACACTTTAATGTAATTCTCTTTCAACAGTTAGTTCAGAAAAAGTGTTACCACAAGTGTAACTGTCTGCTCATATCACTGCATAGTGCCTTCAAGAACCATACCGACAGCTATCTTGAGCACTAAGAGCCTGCAAATAAAAATTACCATTTCATTTCTATGCTGAGATGTGTTCCTTGCCACTACTTATCACTGCCCATCTCCCTTCCACATTTACCAGGACACTTAGTGTGCTGACCTGCTGGCTGACTACTGCTGCAATTCCAGCCAAATGAAGCTCTGGTTACTTGTCTGAGGCTGTACTCACTGATGACTGCAGTTCTGCCATACCTCTCCCAGGCAGCTGCCTTCATGCTACATGCAGAGTTTCCTCAGCACTGCAGCAGAATGCAGCACTAAAAGGGTATGCAGGCATAATCTGGCAAAGGGTGGAAGTTTGTGTCCTTCTACAAGAAAAATCTAAGAAATGAGCATTTCATCCTGCTGTGACCTGATCCTGCTCTTGCAGTCATTAATGCTAGGGCTGGAAAAGCAAGGTAAGAAACCCTCCCCTGTGTTTGGAATGGTAAAAGAAAAAGAGTTCCAGAGTTTTGACTACAAATCAAATATATGGAATTGTGTCTAAAGCTGAATTACTGTTCTGCAGGAAAAGCTGAAGAAAACCGTTGCCATGACTATTGCATTTGCAAAGGAGACTCTTTTCTGCATCTCAGAGTACTCTGCAACCAGTAGCCTACACATTGTCTCCTCTCTCTGGAGGTTCCAAATGTTACCTTGATAATGCCTGTTTGTATCCTGGCGGGAGTGAACAAAGAGTCAGAGATAGGGAGAGACCTTGGGAATGCTGAGCACCATGTGGACTTAAGTGAAAGGATACAGGCCATGGCTGGCACAGGCAAGGCATGGTAGTCACCTGGTTCAACAGTAGTGTTTGAAGCAGGTGCTTTATTAATGGTTGGAAATCCAAAGCGCCCAAACAGATGAGGAAAGGTGGTCAAGCTAAAAGGGATGGGCCAACAAGGCAACAAAATGGAAAAATGCTCTCTGGCTTCAGTCTCAGCCCCCTCTCCCCAAAGCAGGTTAGGTGTTCAGAGACATCCCCATGCTTTGCTATGCTCAGCTTTTAAGTGAATACAATGATCTTTATTAGCCACAGAAGGCTACACATGGATTTCTGCAAAAGTGCTGAGATATATTAACTGGAATAGACCATTTTCTGGGATTTTTTTTCTCTTAAAAATGCAATCCTATTGCAAAATTTCTGGCATTCATTTTACATGTTTCTCTATCAATTTGACCTGTGAAAAATGTGAAGTCTTGCAGCTGCCACCTCTGTCCTCACAGTATTTATCCCTTGCTCTAGAGAAAGGGCAAAGTAAAAGCAGCATGTCTTCCATCTCAGTCTTGTTTGGTGTAATCACTAAATTGGAGAAAAAAAGGCAAAACCCAAAGCAGAGATAAGGTAGCTTCTCCTCAGATTTCACTGCTAGAGTTCGGGGCACCCAAGGCACCAAGGACAGTACCTGGGTACTCAAGGTGCTAGTGGCATATATCCCAGTGTTTTATTATTCTTAAATACATGAAGGCAATCTGTGGGGTTCAGCTTTAATGAGATCAGAATAGCTAGCATTAAAAGCTAAGCAAACATCTCCACTCTGCTCTGACTGAATCTGCTGAGGCATACTTGCAAGAAGCCCTGGTAAAATGCATCTAGCTTGCAGAAGAGAATGGAGCACATTCTTATACCCTGCAGCAATGGAACTGGAAACCTAAATAAGGATGTAATTGTTTACATGGGTACTTCCAGTAGACTAATGCAGACCCATTACTAATGTGTAACCCATTGTCAAAGGCAAGTACTAAGAGCTTGTGGACTTTCCTCAAGCAGGCTGGTTGTCTGGACAGGAGGATGTGAGAAAATGCCAAAGGGATGTCTGGGATCAACAGCAGCTCCACAAAAAGAAGAACTACCAGAACTACAAGAAATGAGACCTGACTTATCAGAAAATAACCAGACAGGCAGAGACACCCCTGCACAAGGGAACTGAGAAACTCAGTAGCTGAACCCCAAGTCATTTAAAAAAAAACACCAACCCTCTGCCTCCTAACAAAGACTTAAGCCAGGTTTGGAAGTAGTTTTCCTGTTAGTCCATGCCAAGTCTTCATGGTCAAGCAAGAGTAAGCAGTCAGAGATAGACTAACGAGAGAGTCCCTAGTCATGATTTAATAGGAAGCTACCTCTAGAGAACTCCTCACTAAAAGGCCACATGTTTGACTCTGACCAGCTGCTTATGGAAATGGTTAGAAGGCAGAAAATGAGAGCAGAATTTTCCAAAGCATGTAAGCATGTGATGGTGTGCATGCATACTCACACACACACACACCCACGTGGCCAGAAACCACTGGGAACTGGGATTCATTCTGACAGACAGAATGGTTTCAGGATATATATGGCAGTGTAAAAGGTCATGGCTAGTCTGAACAGCTTGATGCCTCTGCAGACTTCCAGTGACAGTTACAGCTGCAGATGACTAAAATGCAGGGATGGTTACAGCTCTCACATCTGAAGCCAAGGACTGAAATACTACCCGCCTGCTCCCAGCCACTCAGCAGCTTCTGTGAGAGCTGCAGCGCGTGGCGTGCCACAGTCCAGACGGTTGCCTAGCACTCACACTCTGTTTTGTTTGCTTTCTCTGATTGTGCTGGCTGAGGCTTAGGATAAATGGAGTATTCATCCAATTACCCCTCGGCACCCCTTTCTACTGACATCTATTTGAGGAAAAGTAGCTTCACCACATGGATGTTTGCTTTTCTGAACCCCCAGGAGACTTTAGAACATTCCATTAATCCAGAGTGCCTGCTTAGCTGATCAGCTCTGTAGTTTGTCTCTGCAATGAATTAGTAGAGAGGTCTGTGCAAACGGTTGGGAGTTAAGTACACATATTCCCAAGTATCATGATTAGCCTAATAGATTTCATTGTAGGTGAAATGTCTGCTCTATACTTGGAAAGCAGAGGATGTAATGTATTTTTTGTTCCACCCACTGTGGAAATCTTGCAAATTAAATAGCTAGAATTCTGTTTATCAACACTGTTGGGCCCATCCTTTCCTTGGCCTGGGAGTTAAGAAAGGAAAATAAGAGGGGAATAATTTGTGTCGTTTCAAAAAAGGGCAGCAAGGAGACTGTGAGCAGTCTGTTCTGAAAGTTTCAGAATGGGTACAGACTGAGGGACACCAGAGGCTCCTGGTGCCAGAAGGGCATAAGTATTAATCAAAACAGTCAACTGTAAAAGAAATCACAGTACATTCCTAACATGTCCCTGGTAGAAGATCACAGCTTGGCAGAGCACTGTTCAACCCCAGAATGACTAGCAAAATGAACACCCCTGGCTTTACCTAATAATGGCACAGTTAAAGCATCATGAGCTAAGACAAATAATTTGTAAAGCTAGGCACTAATTTTTTTTTATTTTTTTTTATTTTTTTTTTAATCTCTATCTTAGACAATTGTCAGCTTTAAACCACAGTTCTGGTGAATCTGAGACTATCTCATATTTTGCAAATGTTACTTTTGGTAGTGAAATTTACTCTCGTAGTTGATTTTGCTACATTTAAATTCTACTCTGTAAATTTCCAAGTCTTACTGCTCAAGATCTGCTATGCAGTCTAGGGCAGCTTCTACTAGAATGCCATACTGAAGAGGCAGTGTATGGTCAT